TATAACAGGATATAACAATAAGAGTAATATAGGAGTAATATGATAGCAATGTAATATCTCAGTATCTAAAGCGTTCACTCACCCTCGTGTCCTCAGCAGTAACGCTGTGGTTCTGCACAGGGCTTTTCAGGGCTCCCTGCGTGCCCCGTGGGGTGGCTGGAGCGGGGAGCTGACACTTGGCCTTTTTTGCCCTGCACGTCCTCGCACCGGCAAAATCGGGACGTACGATTCATCACCGGACTGGAGTAGCAGGACTTTCGCGCATGATGGATTGCGTTCCTGTCGTATAGAAAACTTCAAAAGTGACTTACTTGATTAAAATGTCTAAATTCAAAACATTTCAGGGTGGAATAGATAGGAATTAAAAGTTATTTTTATTACTGTGCTATTTTAACTACTATTATGTATACTATAAAAAGTCATTACTAATGACTTTTTAATAATTTTTTTCATTATAATAGCAATTTGCAATGATCACACCACCACACCTTCCATCTTATGAATTAAAAAAGGAGGGAAGGATAACAGTCTGTGTAAACCCAGAATTAAGGTCCAAGTAGTTAATTTTTCTCTACACCTAAGTTTGCGTGTTAAATTGCACATTCTATGTCAATAATTAAATTATGTAAGTAGTGAAACATATATTTAAAGTTAGCAAAGTTTTTAAGTATATAAGCTGTGTTTTTAAGTATAAGACAGTCCATGCCTCTTTACTATTATACAAAGAATAAATGAAATATATTTTTAAATTAAGCACTATTTTTCCTATTATTCTCAGGCCTACATTTGCATGTGGAGGAGTTGTTTCTGGAGAGTCAGGGTTTATTGGGAGTGAAGGATTTCCTGGAGTCTACCCTCCAAACAGCAAATGTACTTGGAAAATCACAGTAAGAATTTTTAATATCACAACATCAGTGCTGAAGACAGTGAAGAGCTATTTGTTGTTAATGCCAGTGTTTTATATGGGATAACATATATGCAATAACGCACTCAGTAACTCAGACCAGCTCAACTATCTGAAACTTTTTAGGGTTGCTGTAATATGATAATAGTGGCTGAAATAGAACTGACCTTGCCTAATGTGAGGAGCGAATTTTCATTGACTTCCATAGACACACCTCTAATTGTTTTAAATTAACCCAGTTGAAAGCAAACATCTACTCTTTCAGTCACTGCAGAAAGCAATAGTTAGGCTAGATCAAATGGATTAAAGCAAAGCTTTGAGGTGTACATAATGAAAAGCAAAATTTCTTGGCAAGAAGACACAGAAAAAGTTTCAAACAAAACCAAAAAATTCAGTCAGGTTTGCTTGTAGTGTGCGAGTAACAGTGTTCTGCCAGCCAGGACATCTGGAGTACGTCATACAGCAAGCTGACAAAAGCAATAAGAAAGTGTTGTTACATTTATAAATGACCATGCAAAAGCATGTGGTACGATTGATATTTTGATGCTGAAACAAGACTGTAGGGCAGAGCCGTGGTATTCATGGACAGCAAATGTCATTAAACAACTACAACTAAACATTTCAGTGCTGATGTGTCCTTATCCAGGGCCTCAGAGAAAGGGGTTGGAATGAATGGTTATTTTTTCTCACATTTCCACAAATTAAGCCCTCCAAAATTTCCTACTTAATTTCCTCTACATTTTGAAGGCACGCTTCACTAAGAACTCCTGTGACATCGAGGCCTAGAGTATGGTCTTTACAGGAAAAAATAAGTATAAGAAAGCATTAAAAAACTTAGTCTGTGTGTTGATGGGATCACTAAAGACAACTTCAGTCCCAAGACTGCATTACAGGCTAGGTGTCGGCAGTAGAAGAGGATGTCACAGGATAATTGTCTCCTGCTACTATAGAGATGCTGACGCAAAGCAAGAGACATTGAACTGTTTACAGTGTTCAGTTAAAATGACTCTCGTACCAAATGAGTGATGTAATTTTAATCATTTTATCTGAAGGATACCAGTGAAGCTGGAACAATTGCTTTCTGCACCTTTATGTTGCATTATTATTAGGGCCAAGTTAGAGGTTACCTTCAATCTGTGACTGACTTTATCCAGAAGAGTATGATGTGAAGTACAGTGTATGCTCATAAAGACATTTGCTTCCTGCTGTCGAGGGGCTGAGATTATAGCAATTAGCATGGCCCACTTTACAATCTGCAGAGCAGACACAAATTGCATTTGGAATCATACACACATGCCTTAAATGGGGAAAAAAATCCCCAAAGTTACTTTACCAACATAACTCAGTATAAGATGTTCAAAAGTTCAAAATTGAATCTGGAAGGAACTGATTTTGATTATAACAGGATAAAGATTTTACCATTAAAAAAGTCAGATTACAGATGGAGGCAGCACTGAAGAAGCATTTACTGAAGCATCCCATGGATCTGCCCGTCATTATATATTGGGGGTAGAAGAAGACAACAATTGATTGTATTTAAAGAGTCCACACAGAGTAGTTTCATTGTGGACTTAATGTGGCTGTTGTCAACAAAACATGAACGTCCAGGTTAGCCTGGACATTGTGAGAAGCATTACCACAAAGCTGTAGCAGAGCTGTGTCTGCACTCAGGTTTTATTGACCATGGGAGGAACTCAATGGCTTCTGGCATTTCATGATCGTCCTGACTCCCACTTTTCTGCTGTGCTGCCATTTATTCCTGTTCTTTGACTGCTGCATACCTATTCTCTGTAGCCTGTCCAAAACTAGAGAAGGGCTGCGCTACTGTAGTAGCCCAGGCTTTCTTGTGCTCCTGCCTCATTTAACCCCTATTAGACAATATTGTTCACTAAGCCAAGCTGATTCCCCACCCCCCCATCAACTGTGTAGAACGCCCTGTCTTTTGGATGCACAGGAAAGATGTGGGGAAGGCAGGGACTACAAAACTTGCAAGACTAAGCCTGCACCCTCTCTAAAAAGAGGATGATTTACCAAACTGAGGGAAAACACTCAAGGGTCTGGTTAGCCTGAATTTAAACAACAAAATCCTTTCACCAGATATTGCTGAGGCTCAGAATAGCTTGCTTAATAGCAAGCCCAAGTAAGAAAGCCAGTTACACGGCCATCAAGACATCAAGAAATATGCTGTAGTTACTGTTCAGCTTCCTCATTTAGCATCTGATCTTAGAAGGTGACTAAGACTTTTCGTCTGTCCATTTTAGCCAAGGGCTGTGAACACCTTCCTGAAAACACTCTGCCTAATGCAGGATTTGACAAGTCTGCAAGAGTGGAAGAGACATTGATTCATTTTGCACCTGGGTCACAAGAAGCATGAAGCTGTTTTCTCAACTACAGGATCTCATCATCTGTAGAAGAAATCCACAGAGGCAGGGTGACCGCTAATTCATTCTTTAGAAGAAAATAGGTTTAGGAAATCTTACGGGTAATACAGATAAAGCAATGTAGCATTCAGGTATCAGCTGAAATCTTTCCAACTGGTTTGCTAAAGCTAGAAGAGTCTCTCTAACTCAATTATGGTTCTGTTATTTCAAGAGACTGGGACTTTTTCAGCTGGCTAAAGAAAACAGCTTCCCTATTCTAAGAGCTCTAAGAAGTGTTCAGCACATGCTTGTGGTTATATTACAGCCTTGGCAGACTACCCAGCAGCTTTTAGCTGGCTTTGCTAAGAAGTCATTTGTACAGCTATTTCCTTTCCTATAGTAATGTATATAGCTTTATCTAAAGTATGTCATATACATTTACTTTTAATACTCTGTAATCCTTCTTGGCCATCACCTCACATAAATGTGTCACGTAGTCCAAGAATCTGGACTGCTGTCCTGTGTTTTTCTGGCAGACTGCATAGTTCCCATAAAACTCTTAACAACTTTATGTTCAACAATAATACTGAAGACTGTCAGAGTTATGTAAGGTTATATTTTTATAGGTTCAGGAGCTGTGTTCCAGCAGGTTTGCTGACAATAAGCAAGGTTTGAAAAATTTACTTATCGGGGAGTTGGGAATCTGCCCTGGGGGAATGAAATATTTTAAATCATTTTCCTATATTGTTGTGAAACTGCCCTTCCAGTAGAGAACAGATCTTTATGCATGGTTGTATTGCCAGAAAAGAAATAGATGAACAGAATCTAGTGCTTTTGTCAGGGAGAGCAAGCTAATACAAATTTCAAAAAAAATTATTCCTTTGTGGCTGGGGAGGATGGAGCTCGGGAACCAGTGACTAGGCAGGAACTGTAGTTCTTCCCAGGATGTAACTCCAAATAACTTACATAATCATTCTCAGTAGAGAGAAATAATATGTTTAGCTTGCAGGTGACTGATGTATCTTTCAAGTCTACCTAGGACTGCTATGGAAAAACATACGGTCAGCATTTTGGTATTAAACATATATCAAAATATGTTAAACCCATATACAATATAGGTTTAAAAATTAGGCAAAATATTTTCTCAGAAAGTTGGCACCAAAAAATCATTTTCAAAGCAAATAATCTAAACCAAGTCATTTTGAAAAGTATGACAGTTTGGGAATCCTCCCCGGAAATGGAAAGAGGCACAGTGATGAAGAGGGCTTTGTGTTCAGTCAGAACAGCAACAGAAAAACAGCTTAACTACTTTAAATGTAAGTGAACTTTGATTAACATTATATTACCTGCAATGAATGATAAAAAAAATAAAAATGTAGGGACCTTATTTTGTGGTGGGTTGTATATATAAAATAATCATGTCCTTTTCAAGAGGTTAATAATCTACACAGATGATTTTAGGGAATTATGCTCCAGAAAAACTCCCCCTAAAAATTCAGGGAGTGCTATTTTCCTTTAGCCTTCACTAGGAGTAAGGCATCCTTCATATGAGTTTAGCATTATAATATCTGATCCTAAAGAAGTTCACAGAGTTAAAATAAGAAGGGAAGCAAAGGGCAAGTATGGGTCAGTCACCCTCAGTGTGACAAGGGGAGGCAGAAGCTATAGGTCCTCTGTTGAAAGATACCAGCTGGATGGATAAAACAGAAAAATAAGGCACACCCTGCAGGGGAAACATCACATATTCTTCCTTTGACTCCTCTCTTTTTTTTTTTTTTTTTTTTTTTTATAGCTGCAATTCCTTCCAGTTCTTCCTCAGAGGTATCCCATCATCTTACTGCATCAGGCTCGGATGCGGCTCAAAGTAAACAAAACTGAGTCATGCTGGCCTTTGCTTTCTCCCCTGTGTTTCTCATACAGCAATATTTTAAATGTCCTAGGATAAACATTGGCAGATTTTAGCACATTAGTTTTCAACATTGTAAAAAGGGAAACAGTAGAAATGAAAGAACAGTATTGTTTTGCAGAGACGCCTGTATTTAGGGTGGGATTCCATGGGAGTAGCTGCAAACTGGAGCGGCTGCTGCCAGAATGTGGAACCACCGTCCTCTGCACTCTTGAATGTCATCTGGTCAGACCACAAACTTTTAATTGATATCACATGCTGGAACAAATTTGATATTTTTGCAAATAATGACAAATATTATTTTAATAAGCAATTACATTATTTTATAAAGTAATGGCAGTAAGTAGTGACTGAGATTAAGGGACTCCATTTAGACATTTCTGTCAATGACTTAACTCCCCAAATTCAGCTAAATATGAGCAAGGATTATTCTGACAACTGAAGTCTGGAGTAAGCTCCTTGTTAAACACTCATGACCACCTGGCTGAGTTTTTCCTACACATTTTCTCACAAATTGCCGTGAAACAAAATCTGGTACATCTATGGGGAAGAGTCTTGACCGAGATCAAGTAGACTGAATGAAGAGAAGCTAGAGAAATTTAAAACTATAAAGAAATACAATTAGATAATGTAGTACAGTATAACATAGTCAGCGGTGGAGAGAGGAGAATGAAGCATGCAATGCTGCACAGAATTACTTACACCATGAAACAAAAAACCCAAGACTTGAGTGAATGTTTGGCTGGCAATTTGGAGTTTGCCAGCACACTCTCCCTCTTGAGTGCGAGTCAACCCCCCGTCCTGGTTCCCCATGCCCCACTTGGGGCAGCACGAGGGAGCGGAAAACACCGGGGTAGGACTGAACGCTGTGAGGCTGGTGTGAGCAGAGCAGCGCTGGCTCACTGTGCTCGCGGAACAAAGCTGTCAGTGAGCACCCATCAGCATTGCTGAGGGATAACCACTTGGCTAAATCTGAGTGTGTTTCTACACGGACAGCAAAAAGACCTTTTCTTACCCCAGAACCAGCGACCTCTCACATTTCAACTTCCTTCTTCAAACTCAGGGAGGGAGTAGGTGTCTTCAAAGAAGCAATTCAAGCTGAGAAAGTAGGGGAAAATCTCACAAGCACTGACAAAACTATTTAATCTAATATGATGGAGCAGCTTCTGCTCAACTTTCAGAAACAGTGGAAGGAAAAGGGGAAGCTTCTTCAAGATGGGTAAGTTGCAGCAAAGCTGCAAGACACTGTAAACAGTGTTTTGTAGCTGAAAATGTTGAATAATCTTAACTGTAGGCATAACAGCTCAGTCTGTATTAAAACATGATAATCTTTAAAGGTCACCTCATTTGGATCCTGTCGTACCAGTTGTACAAACTTAGGAATAATGAGTGTTCCATCCCAAAAGAGCATGTGTTATTTTACATACTGCTGAAAAAAGGGTGCTTTAATTTAACTGCCTAAATCCAACTTTTTCTGACTTTACAGCCAGCATTTTTGAACTGATTTATCTGGTCACACCAAGTTTGTAGTATAACCATAAATAACATTCAGGTCTTCTGACAGGAATACCAAATTGCTTCTAGCTCTTTTTCTGTTAAAATGACCATGTCTTAATGCTTCTTAGTGATTCAGACCAGAAGACAAATGCAATAACAACAGATTCAGTTATGAGAGCAGTGATTCAAGGAGTCATATTGCTTTCACAGAGTTTCTTACAATATGACCATGTGTCTGTATTGGCCTTATGCTGACTAAGTATACATGTGGGTTATTTTCTGATACCACCTATAGGTCTTGCTCACTTCAGTAGTGTGAGTTTTAAACCTAACATCTGGCTTTAAAGTTTTCTAAAACATAGTCATTGTGCTTTGGAATTTCTGGGTAAGATTAGATGAGTTTTGTGGTTTTGATCTAATAGTAGTAATGATGTATGTCTGTACAGGGGAACTGAATGCATTTTTGAGAGAACTTTGAAGGAGGATTCAAGGAAAATACTCTGAAACTAGCAACAGACACTGCAGTGGGCCCTGGGCTGTTGAAAACAGCTCATGGAAAAGTCTGTCCTGCTGCAGGATCAATATCGGCACTGGACATAAAAGCAGCCACATGAATGAGTAACCTTAACATATCTACAGCACATTTTTCGCTGCATCTAGAGCTTCTGCCTGTGTTAGTATCTTCTGTGGGTTGAATGGTCACTTCTGTCTATACCTGACAAGGCATTTTTAACTGTTGAAACTCACAGAATTCAAACACTGACAATTTCATTTAGGAACAGTTTGGTTGTAGTTTATCTCAGACTGGTGTTTTAAAACGAGTCACTGTTAAGGAAGGAAAAAATTCGCAACTCTTAAATAAAGTAGCTTAAATATGGACTTACTGCAGATATATTAAGTGTGTCTTACATATTTAAAGCAGAAAATAATAGCAGTGTCTCAGTAAAATAGAACAGCTGGAATTATTTTAATAGGTAACCACTCTACCAGGCTATGAATTGAATGCAGTTAATTACACCCTGCCTGTCTAGGGTCCCTCTACACTTCAAAAATACTGTTTCCCTTCTTCCTGTCCTGTTACATAGCATTGAGTGCTTTGTTAGAGTAGTCTTCACTTCTCAGTATGCTGCTTATTCTCTTAAAAGCTTGCAACTCTATCCCAGGAAATGTTCTCCTCCTTGTAAACTACTATGCTCTCTTAATTTACATCCTTCTCGATACTCTTGCCTCTTTCGCAACATCCACAGATGCAGACATGTGAGAAGATTTGCCCTGTCTTATGTTTCCTCAGATGTTTCAGAGGACAAAACTCTCTTCTGTATTGAGGACACCCACTAATGATTCTTTTGAACTCTGTTTATAGTTTTACATATTCTTTCCAAATATAATTCTTTCACTGCAGCCGTCAAGCTAAATGTACCGACTCCAATAGCTAAATATTAGGGTTATACAGCATTAGCCATAAAGTTTCCAATTTTATTTATAAATGTAAGTCATGTGTCAGTAAACAAAAACAACCAACATTCAAACTATGAAACTTTATAACACAAATCAGCAAGATAGGAGAGGCCATTTCATTTGCTCAAAATTGTGAATTGCTTGTTCCATTTTTTTTTTTTTTTTAAACCATATTAATCTCATCCTCCTCACCTTACTTGGTGACTGGGAGCTGCACGGCTGATTGCATACTTTCAACAGAAAATAAGAGAAACATGCCGAGAGAACTAGGTGGTGATGGTATAGAATCAACTGTGAGAGCCTGGCTAGACAATACTGTGGATCGGGAAGAAGATAATAGCAACAGAGATGTTGTTATTTATGATTTTGTTTTTGTGATTGATCCAATATGATTTTAAAAACAACTCTGCGTGAAGTATAGTTGACAAAAAGAGGTTACCTGGCAAGAAGTGAAGGATATGAAAATACTCATGCAAATAGTGGGATCAAATAGATATGTGGTGTCAGCCACACTTCAAGATACATCTCTCCCTCCCTCCCTCTCTCTGCAGGTCCCAGAAGGAAAAGTGGTGGTTCTTTCTTTTAGATACTTAGACCTGGAAAGTGACAATTTGTGCCGATATGATTTTGTGGATATATACAATGGCCATGCCAATGGACAACGCATCGGCAGGTTCTGTGGTACTGTGAAACCAGGTGCCCTCGTATCTAACAGCAATAAAATGTTGGTGCAGATGACTTCAGATGCTAATACTGCTGGAAGTGGATTCATTGCAAAGTTTTCTGCAGCAGAACCACATGAAAGAGGTACTTAACAGTTACGTATGTGCTGAAGACAAATAGAATTGTACAACTCTATGGAGAGCCACATTAATACTTAAAAAGATGTGGTGCCAGAGATGTTAGGGATTGAGCTGTTCAATGTATTCATTAATTATCTTGCTCAGCACATAGCAAAGTATAACTGTTTAGCCACTGTAGTTAATCAAAGTAATAAAGAGGAGAGCTAACCATTGTAAGAGTTGCTGAAGAACCACTATGCAACTGTAAATCCATAATGCATCTATGCCTTGAATACTGCTTGCCATTCCGATGTTGCGATCTCAGAACAGGATATAATAAAACTATCAGAAGCAATCAGAGACAACAAGTATGATAGAAGTAGGGAACATCTACATGAAGAGCAGCTGCACAGCACGGACCTCTTCATGCTGGAAAAAGGGGCGGTCAAGGGGAGTGTAGGAGAAGGCTCTGAAGTCATGACCGGTATGGAGGAAGTGAACAGGGACCACAGTCACTGTCTCTTCTAATGAGCAAGTGGCTGCAAAGAAAAGGAGAGGGTGATTTTTCACAGCGAGGTGTGAAGTGGTGGAGTCTTGTGCCAGGGGACATTGTGGACTGTCAACTTCTACACTGGTTTAAAAACAATTAGAATAACATGTGAAAGAAAAAAATTGTTAGGGATGATTAATCCTAAAGGCATTGCCTCGTGCTTGGGAAGGCCATGAACTGCGAGAGGCTGGGAGGTTACAGGGAGGTGGTATCGCCCTGCTGAGCTGAGCAACTCTTTTTTAAGGCTTTTGCTATTAGCATGATCCAGACTAGTCAGGTTGTTGGGCAGACACAGTGTGGGTGATGAGTTATTAATTAGTCCTTCCAGTTCTATGCCTGTATATGGATAACATGATAGAGTTAATTTAATAAAGAAGGTTCATAACCATATTATAAATAAGGATTACATACCTGATGTAGCTTTGTAATTTGGGACTGGGAGGAGGACACATGGAAAAAAAACCCTGCTCCATCGTGGGCTTTCCACAGGCCGCAGTTCCTTTGGGAATGCCTGTCAGCCCTGGCGCAGCTGCGGGGATGCCTGCTCCAGCAGCTGCAGCTCCTCCTCCTCCAACCCTGGTGTTCACAGGAATGCTTCTCACTGGTTTTTTTTTTTTTACCCTCCTTTTCCTCTACATCTGGCATGTTCTGCCCTTTATTAACTACGTTTTCCTAGAGGTGCCACCAGCTGAGCTGAAGGGCTCAGCTGCGTCCTGTGGTGGGGCCGTGGCAGAGGCAGCCGGAACCGGCTGGGACCGGTCGCATCTCGTCACAGAGGCCCCTGCAGTAAAACAAGCGCGTTACGTGGGTTACCTGCGTCCCGGTTGCACTCTGGTCAGCGTGGTGTGCTGTGCTTGCAGGGGATCAGTACTGTGGGGGACGACTGGAGAAGCCATCGGGGTCCTTCCAAACACCCAACTGGCCGGAGCGAGACTACCCAGCGGGAGTCACCTGCTCCTGGCACATTGTCGCCCCGAAGAACCAGGTAAGGTGCTGCCATTGCCTTGCCGGCACGGCCCAGTCCTGCAAGGACTAACACCGCATCAACAGCCTGCTTGCACAACAGGCTGCCTGCATTGCACTGAAACAATAAAAATGCTATCTGGCCAAAATCTAAAGTTAGGTACATGCAGGGAGTGCAGGCACACCTATGTTCCAGTGATGCCTGCCTTCCTCTCATGTATCACCTGGCTCACTCCAGTAACTCCTGTGCTTTCTCGACATTGTATCTCTTCTTCTGTGCATTGATATATTCCCCTAAATTAAACGTATTTTTTAAGGCATCTGTGACTGGTGAGGCTTTTAAACTAGATTTTTTTATGAAGATGATTATGTGAATTAACAAAACATAATGCAAATTAAGTTAGGGCAGGTGATCATCTCAGGACCAAACATGATGATGACCAATGCTAGCTTTAAGTCTAACAATACTTGTAGCATTTTTGGTGTTGCTGCAGTTTTTTATTGAGGTACCCAGGCAGAGCTGATTGAATTTATTAAAAGCAGAAATGATTTTATTCTGCTTACAGAATGAAGAATATATTCGGATGTCCCCTGCACAGGGATTTTCAATATACATTTGAAAAAGCTTGCTTTATTTCGTGTTTTGAAGGCTCCATCTCATAACATGCCTGCTTAATTAGCCAGACGCCATCAGAGCATATGTTACCACTTCATTAAGACCTGAAGAGATGTGATAGCAGACCCAGAGGGCTCATTTGCCACCACTTGCCACAAATGGCAAACGCAAGTGTGTTCCCTAGGCTGTAGGGCTAATCTCAATCCTAGTTTCACATTTTCTGGTTGTTGCAGAGCCATCTGCTCTGTACCTTGGCAGGAATTCTACAGTGATTGAACGTTTTGGTCATCCAAGCATGTATGGTAGGTTGGTTGCTTTTCTTAACCATGTCCAGCTTTTTAAATTCCTCTAAATGTATAGACAACTTTCCTCTTAATCTTCTGCTCATGACCATAATCCCCCAAATAAAAAAAGCTGCCCCAGATAAATATACTCTTCAGATCTTTCATACTTTTCCATTTACCAAGATATTTTCTCCCTTGAACTGAAGCAGTGTGTCAGCTTAGTCTTTCCTGTACTCCTCTTTAATCCACATTCCTTGCTTGCTAGATACAGGTCATTTAACAATCCTATAGATAAGCAGTGATTTTTAAAAACCTTATCTGTAACCTGCAGATTACTTTGGTTCTTTCCAAGTATCTCTAGATAAGCCTAAAAACTTTTCCTAAGCTTGTAGAGAAGATTTAAGGAAGGCTATATAAGCATATAAATAAGGGCATTATATCCTGTGCCTTTTGAAGATACTGTTCCATAAATCTACAAGTTTCTGAGTATGTTTTTCATGTACTGCAACAGCGTTTGTTTGCATGCAAATGAGGCAGAATTTCGACTGTGACAAAAGCCATTTTGAGGAAGTAGTGAATAAGCTTTTCTCCAAGTGCACATGAAAAGCTGTTCATTCTTCCATTTGCCAAAGTTTAGGTGCCATTGTCTGTACTTCCCTTTCACAAGCATATGAGCAATAAAACAAGGCACTCTCTTGCTTCTAAAAGAAACCAATAATTACTTCATGTATTACAGAAAATGGAGGAGCTTCTCATGACGGTGAAGAGTTTCTATTCTATCATGAAATACTTCTTTATTAGTGTAAAGTGCACTTATGAACAATAGTAAAGTAGATATTATGGCCTGCTGTTATGCCTGCATATGGAAAAATTTAGCATTCC